TTGGAGTAGAGAGCAGAGTAGCATGCCTTAATTCCAGTACTAAAAATTAAATAATCAGCGGGAGCAAACCAATAAATCAAATATAGACACAAGTTTGGATGGCAAAAGATTGTGGGCTGATTAGAGCTTTGGACCTGAAGGTTTTCGAAGGGCATGAAAACCGTTGGTAGAGGTCAACTGAATTTCCAAGAGACATCAGCTAAGGCTTACAGTTGAGAATTTGTGGTCAGCCTAGTAATTTCTCATCGGACCTTGTCCACCGACGTGACATGCGACAAAATACCGTCTTGTCCCATGCAGGAGGAGGTTGCAGCCCTGGTTCTCAATGTGTTGAGAAGCGCTTGGGTCTTCCTAATTCATGGTCAATAAACACCGCAAACAAGAAAATAAGTTCAGAGATATTCCGGAACTTTTTAAAGCTTTGAAATTTAATCGTCCAATTAGATCCGACTGGATCTCGTTTCAAGTACGCGTGAATCTGTTCGCGTGGATACGGTAGCGTATCTCGATAAATCTCCACGACAGAGTTCGTAAACAAACTCGACGGTACGTCAAAGTGGACGACAGCGCTGGTTTTTACCAGCGGCACCGGCGATGTCGGTGGCGCTGGTGTTTTTCCACGCCACGATGTCGGTGAATCTCGTCGCGTGTTATCTGTAGTGCCTTTTAATTTCGACCGATACGCGCGGATAGCATCTCTCGCGTAATGCGACGAAAAACCGCACGCGACCGTTTTTTGCCGCCATGCGGACACTGGTATCCGACAACGGCGGCGATGTTGAAAGATCGAGGCGGTGCCTACCGTAGTCTAGTCGGTAGCGACCAACCGACGGCGACGTCGACGAGGATGCACCCGGCCGCTGCACAACTTCAGCAAGTTCGTCAACTCGTTTGTTACAGATTAGGTGTTTGTATACTGTTCAGCACATAGCACAAATGTTTAGCCACCAGAGTGTCTCGGTGAAACACTTCAGGATACGCCATGTCTTGAAATTCCTGTCAAATTTGCGGAGCTGTTTGAATGCGCGGTATCACGGCTTGGTTGAGGGGGGGGGGGGAAAGGAACCCAAGACGGGACCGCTTATTGGTCGTGGAATTACGATGCCACTACTTTAGCCCAACGGACCACCTCCTCAAGTAAGAGGAAAAGTGCTTTCAGAAATATCCTAATATTACTAAAAAAGTGGAAAGCTCAGAATTAGCAAGCTTTCACGATTGGGGATGTCATCTTCATGCATGGCGTATTCCCAAGTGGATCGAGCTCAGCCAAATTCGGATTTTTGATAAGCGCTTCTTTTCTCCTATTTCAGTTCTTCTTGCCACGAATTCACGTCAACTTTGAAAGCGAGCTCAACGCCCAACTACAACCTGACGCGAGAGCATCGCAAGTTGAGGTTCCTTCTTTCTACACTTGATGCTAGAAAAGAGGAGAAGACATGAAATGTTGGGCAGATTTGCGATGGAAATAATTCATTCAAAACATTTTAATCCAGCGCCTTTACCCCTTGGGGCAAAGTTTGCGTGTAACTTTCGGCTCTGAGCAGGTCAGATCAACGGCACATCGGGCCGATAGTTCAACACATGGGCCCCGCCCTTTCACGTCAGTAACCAATCCAGAAGCCCCACGGCTCAGGAAATATCCGAAATTTACAAAATTGAGAGAAATTTTGCAATCCGCCAGCGTTATCTAGAAGCTCCACCGAATACCGCTTCCACAGCTTCTAAATTTTCAGAAAGACTTCCTTCCATCCCGTTCATCTCGTCACGATAGGGAGCTCACCTGCCTCTAAGACATTTTTCTGGGCTGACCTGCAGGTTCTACTTACTTCAGTCGCTGGCGAGTTCCGCCCCCGGGTTGAGGGTGTGAAGTGCAAAAGAGGTTCTTATTGGAAAGATTCAGAATATCGCCTTTTTAAGATTTGCTCGCGTATTTTTACAAGTTCAAAATGACCAGTGGTCAATCTTGACTTTGTCTATGCGAGGCTTTGCTGGTGGCTAGGAATGTTTGGGTTTGAACAGCACCGTGCTTCTCTTGTCCTCTTGCTCGCCACAACCCTTCTGCTTTCGTAACGACCCATTCCTATTGAACTGAAAAAATGATATTGACGAGAAATAAGTAACTGGTGTGACTTACGAGAAGGTCTGGAAGTATTTTTCGAGAAAATAAGAGCACTTAGTTTGAGGCATCGCTGAGAATTCCTCAACGCGCGAAACGAATTGCTATCTGTATTGAGTTGTAAGGAAAGTTCTCCCTGTTTTCGACTCCAAAGTTCAGGGGGCTCCAAGAGCGGATCGAGCGTTGCGTGGTGGACGTATGAAACCAGTATGTTGGTTTGAACAAGCATGTGCTTCTCTTGCTATCGTACTGCGCCAAAACCCTTCTGCTTTCGTAACGATCCATTCCTATCGAACTGCAAAAATGATATTGACGAGAAATAAGTAACTGGTGTGACTTACGAGAAGGTCTGAAGTATTTTTCGAGAAAATAAGAGCACTTAGTTTGAGGCATCGCTGAGAATTCCTCAACGCGCGAAACGAATTGCTATCTGTATTGAGTTGTAAGGAAAGTTCTCCCTGTTTTCGACTCCAAAGTTCAAATGCGGTCTCGATTCAACACAACGTCTTCATTCGTAGAAAATCCGTTACAATCCAGCTTTCCCGATGCTATCGATTAAATGAGTTTGATCAAGCCGTTCGCTGGAAGTTGTAGGGTTCAAGAGGCGATGAAATCGAAGAAGGTCATTCCACAATCACTTTATATTTCGTAGCATTTCTCTTCTAAGGGTGTCACCCAGATGGTTGAGAAAGTGGCCGTGAATAGGTAAGAGGTCTAGTGAGTACTTTGTGTGATAGCTTAGTGCTCTAGCTATTTCTCTTTTTGCTGAATGGGTGCCGCGGTCGGTAGCCGAGGTGTATCGCGCAGAAGAGTCGATATTTATAGCAGCCCATGCTAGGCGCATGTGTCAAGATTTAGGGGTATTTTGAAACACTGCGAAGAAGACTGTCCCACTATAATAGTCGCGATCGAACTACTAGTCTATAGGTTGATGCTAAGAACCCATTTGTTATAGCATCTCATAATCCAAACTGAAATTGGGTAGTTTTCATTGGGTGAAACAAGCTTGAAGAAGGGCACACACCACTGCGGAACCGCGAAATTTCTGCGGCACCCACTACTCGACTTTACCAGACTTTTCAACCTACTATGCATCTCATTTGAAACAGCCATTTCGACCTACCATCCTTTCCTGGTGAGGAGGGAGACGTGCTCAAATCAGAACAAAAAAATTCCCCCTCCCCTACAGCAACTCCGATGTAATCCTATATCGAACCGATTTACGGTGCATCAGCGCATGCAAGACGTAAATTGGTTCGGGAAGGGGAATTTCATGAGTGGATAAGGCCGCTTTTTATGCGTAATTTTTCTCACGACAGTATATGGCCACAGCTCGATCGGTGCGCACGTGCAGCGGGACTCGCGAGATTGACACTTACTAATGGTATAGGATTAGAACAACCATTTAAAAAGTTTGTGAAAGATTTCAGCAAATGAGATGATAAGGCGGATGTCAGACTTTGCGAATCGAGCGATTTGCTAGTCTTCGCGGTTGCGTCGCGGCCATTGCTCGATTGGTGGTGCCGCAACGCGACCGCGGACGCTAACGATTCGCCGGTAGCGAATCGCCCAATTAGCAGTCTGGCACGACCAAAGGTAGCCTCCTCATTTTCCCGAGAGAAGAAAGAGAGGACAGAAAAGCAGGGGTAGGAGCTCCTGCTGGTTCTGTTGAGAACGTTGCGGTTGAAGGCAGCGACTATGATAGGGAGTGAATTGCAAAAGCATATGCGCAGAAACAGTTACTTGGCGCTCCGGCCAGCGCAGATGTGGCTGATTTCACGCCACGAAAGTGCGCCCGGTTCGGTCAAGGCTTCAAAAAAGCACTCTGCCTCTCTGGAGCGATCCGCCACTAGTTTTAGATGTGTGATTTTGGACAAGCTGCATGCGCACCAAATAGACAGCACAACTGGAAGCAACTCTACTGGCCGCGGTTTGGCCATGCCTGCTACACCTGAACACACTGCCGTGAACTCGTTCATACGTCCGATTTCTGAGCTGTTGCCTGTTCATGAGTGAAAAAGAATGGCCAAGAAAGGGCTCCGTTTTGCGTTCTTGACGGATTTCTCAGCTTTTTTCGCCACCTGCGCGCCATTGAGCACCATCACGTCTCCTTTGAACCCTTCTCGAATCTATCGTAATCGCTGCCTTTAAACATACAAAGAAAGAAATATCTTTTTCCCTGCTTAGACCCAATTCCAGTAGAGCTTCGAGGGAGAACTGATTGCCCACATTAACCCCAGTGATAAATGTGACCACTCAACTTTTCAATAGACTCATAATGGAAGCTGCGGCTCTGGCTTTACGTGTAGCCTGTTTTCGAGCACATTCACTAAATAAATAATAAACAAATCTCCACAGAATTCCAAGTGCAGAAAATCAAACAGATGAGGCAGATAACAGATACAAGCACTGTGTTCCAGGCCAGCCCATTTGGAAATATTCTGATGTTGGAGTCTTTCGCTCGAACGATCAGCCCGAGAAACCCGGTTCCTCAGGGGAGTCAAGTGCTCAATCGCAACCCCCCACCGCGGGCAATTATGAACCGGTAAAATTTTTACAAGGCCTTTCCCTCCTAACTTTTTCTTCTTTTTTCACTTTTAAGTTCTAAATTATAGTAGTTGTAAATAATTAAAAAACTTTATCTGAATGAGATGAAAAAATCTGTTTGATTTATTCGTTCTGAGAAATTCGGTGGTCTTTTTATGAACAACTGACGAAAAGAATTAGGCGTTTTAGCCCTAACGATAGGTGTGTTACTTCGACCGTTTTTTATTTATTTTTTTATTTATTTATTTATTTTGCACAATACGTGCGCACAACAATATTGTTGTAGGCGATGTATAAATAATTACACGAACATATAGGTTAATAGGCACCACAGAACATGAGGCACTCAGCTGATCCAGTAGGAGGCTTGTTGGCTGTTCAAGAATATTCGACACCATTTGCTCATAACAAGACATGCTTTGTTTAGTAAAATTTTGAAAAATGCTGATTAAGTGTGACGAGAAAAAGCATTCGTAATAATACGCCATGAGCGTATGAATTAATTAGCCCTGAAGATAACCACGCCGAGACCGCTACACAAGGGCTGGTGCTGTGGCACCTCTTTAACCTAATTACGGACCTCAGTGTAGGCACGGGGGTGCTTACGAAGACAATTAATTCATTCAGCTCATAGTAATTGTAAGTGTTTTCTTCGATGAGTAATTATCTGAACAGTCCGAATAGTTAATTTTATTCTTCCAACAAGTCGTGCAAAGTACTCAGAAGTACAGTAATCATTTTGCAGTACCGTATCCATCGCGCAATCGCTATGGTCGTCCATACATCTCGGGGAGACCGTTGTTGACGTGCGATCGACAAAAGATCGTGCAACTTGTTCGAGAACGGGATGAAGAAGATTCACATCGCGAAAGCAGCTCGGTATTACTCACAGCTGTGTGAGTAAAGTCTTAAGGAAGTGAGCGTTTCTCTCTCTTTGAAAACTTTCCAACTGAATTAGGATATTGTCTCGATACAGTGGGTAATGCTGGCTACAGGTGGCGCCATGGACCAGGTACAGCCCGGGAGTCGAACCCCTGGTAAGATACCCGTTCAGGCCGAGAAAGCCTTCCATCTCTACGAAAATCAAGTCAAGTGTCAGACTCCTCTTGTTTGACCCCTCTGGCGCCCGCCGTTGTGCGTACATTAAGACATCTTTTTTTTTTCATATTTTTCATCAGTAATCGCTTTCCCATTGGAAATTTATACATTGTAAAATGTTCTCAGACTCGACCCAGTCGAAGCGCTATGCAACGCGAAAAAAATGCCAAGAATTACTGAGAAAAAACAAGTCTGGTCCACTGGACCACGCTTGCTGGCTCAATTCTACAAGACCAAACTACTAACCCCCACTTTATCGGCTTGAGCCCTCCTAAATCATTCCACGTGGAGCGAGGAAATTCCCCTTACCTTCTCTTGCAAGGACTGTGGACCGCTGGACTCTTAAAGGAATCTTGCGCGGAAAAATCATGATTCTATTTCAGCCATAAATCACTGGCTTGAGACTCATTATCCACGATAATAGTGAAAAGAACTGAAGTATTGCTTTCGTTTTGATTAGAAATTCGAAAACTCGAAAAGGCTGCTACGCGTTCGAATTGCCCACGGACGTCTTTCACGAATGCTGGCGACGGGGATGCTCAAACTTGGTTCTTGGAGTGCATTCACTAGAAGCTCTTTCTGGCCTTCTGCTTCGTTGCATTCACATCTTACACTTCTACTCCATCCTATTCCATCGATCGATTTGTCTCCACTCTCCGAAATCGCGCGCTTTAACCCGATTCTCTCATTGCGTCGCCTGGTACGTAGCCGGCCAAACGCCGTCTTCTTTCCATGCCTCGCCTGGCTCTGCCTCCTGGTCCTTCGATGGTCCATAACGTGTAGTTTTTGTACGTTTGTTTCTCTTCAGAAACCGAATCTTTCATGCGTGAAACTTTGTGTGCTATTTCCAGTGATCACAACTGACATATTCATGTTAGGAAAGAGTGCAAGAATTTTCCGCGCAAGATTCCTTTAAGAAGCCGCCTTGACTCATCTTTCATAAGCCGAAGCAACGACAAGCCTATTTTCTGGTAAGCAACTTCGTATACGTTCAAACGGGGCTCGATGATTTTGGACGAAATTCACCTACATGGGGCAGTGCAAACTGATCCGTCAATGCTGGGCATCTTTCCTTTTGTCCTACAGTGTAATCATAGTTGTCATGTAGGATAGTCTGTCGCTTTTGTATCAGCTCGCCAGTAACGAAAGTAAAGCAATGTGAGAAGGGTTCACTAGAAACACGACACAAAAGTGGTCGGAGTAAGGGAAGGGGGACGAAATTGCTTTTGGGAACTGACGTTCACTTTCACGGCGAAACCGTTGTTCTTCCCAGTTTGCCGTTTTCTGTTGGAAAATTCATTTCGAATGCTAATCGGATTGGATCTCATCTGTTCTTCTTTACCGGAAGTGTATTGGAGTTTGTTTAATTAAAAATTTGTAATTTCATACGCTTTT